GGGGTGGGGTCAGTGGGCCACAGACAAAGCCATTCATTTGTCGGCAGGAGAAGAGTGCCCGAGCTGAGTCAGACAGACAGACTGACAGACCGTGTCTTCCTGGAGCCAGGGATGGGGCAGGGGGCTCCTGGCAGGGTAGGGGGCGCATACACAAATGTTCTCTTCTCCCGGGGTCCTGAGCTGGGAGCTTAGCAGAGGCCCCAGGGACCCATCCAGCCAGGGTGGCATATTTGAACTGCAGTCTGCGGTGACCCCCACCTTGAGCTCTTCTCCACCCTTGGGGACCCCCTCCCCCAATTTCTGTTGCAGGAGAGGGAGGAGGCCTTTCTTAGCAAGTATACCTGCCTTGGCTGGGCCGGCTCTACAGCTGTGTGTGTGCTGGCCTTCAGGTCAGCCAGCTGCTCTGCCCCGGGTGCAGCATCTGAGGAAGAGGAACTCATTCATTCATTCATCATCCATTTATTCATGGCTTAGTGCCTGCGGTATGCCAGGTACAGGGGGCCTAGAGCTGAAACTAGCCAATACTCAGTGCCAGGTAATTTAAACATTAAAAAATTGTTATTATAAAGGTGATATACAAAGGGGTTACAGTTACATGAATCAGATAAAGAGTACATTTCTTTATGGACAATGTCACCCCCAGTTTTTCTTTCCTGTTTCCACCCATAAGTTGTATAGTTCATTTTCACCATAGTGTCCAGTGAGGAGTGTGTGTGCGTGTGTGTGCATGTGTGTGCGTGAGGAGTGTGTGTGTGTGTGTTTGTGTGTGTGCATGTGTGTGCGTGCGTGCACGTGTGCCAGTACTCGGACTTGAACTTAGGGCCTCAAACTCTCGCTTGGCTTTTTCCCTCAACGCTAGCAGTCTACCACTTGAGCCATGCTTCTACTTCTGGCTTTTTGTTGGTTAATTGGAGATAAGAGTCTCATGGAGGCGCTGGGAAGGTGGCTCAGTGGTAGAGTGCTTGCCTTGCATGCATGAGGCCCTGGGTTCGATTCCTCAGCACCACATAAGCAGAAAAAGC